AGACAGTCAGGGCTGCGTGATGTTCAGGACGAAGCTTGTTTAAACTTACCAACGATCGCTACGGTAAATTATGCAGAAAACTCTTTAACTATACCGAGCACCTTTTAATATGAATTCATCTCGAACGATCAAAAACAAATCTCGTTTGAAATGTTTTCAAACTAACTTAGTTATCTAAAGTTGCTCCCAGAACTACATCGTGAAGTACACTTTGTATTTGTTAGAAAAATACAAAAAGAAATTATAATTCAGAATAGGCGGGTGCTCTCTAACAAGAATATAAGAAAAAGTTTGTATTTCGTTACTCTTGTTTATTCTGTGATATAAAGCAGTGTTCAAGTAAATTAACGTTGTTGCAGAGCACCTATGAATTTAAATGAAAAAAGGTTGTTTTTAAAGTGAATGTTGTATTGACTTTCTCGTTTTTTAATAGCTTTCAAAACATTAATTTCCATGAAATTTTAAACTAAGAATATTCAATATTGTACCTGAATATTCTAATAAGTCTTCATGGCTATCGGCAGGATATCTTCTAGGATAATCATCATCATCATAACGTCGTCAGTCTTAGGACTAGTCAATCTAGATCCATCTCTTTTTTTCTTAGATCCTGTTTCTGATTCTAATATACTTCTAACTGGTCCTTCATGCCTGAGAAGGTGTCCTATAGTTGGGTCAACCAAAACTGGCATAGTCCACAATAAAACTATCACATTTACATACAATGTAGAAATCTTCCCGAAGTGAGTTAGTTTTTAATATGAAATATTCTCAATTTTTACCCATTACACACTTCCTCAAATTAATAAGGAAAAATTTGTTGCTGTTGTCAAACCCCCGCCGGGAATCGAACCCGGGCTCTTTGGCTTTACGCGCCAATGCTTTGACCACTAAGCTACGAGAGATGACAACAGCAACAACGACAAACCGTACTTATTAGGTCACAAATCCGTCGAACTAATATATACTATGATTAAACATACATACAATTTTTTANCGTATACTATTTCTTGTCATGTTTGTGCGGATAGCTCGTCATTAAATTGATTGTTGGTGAAATAAGAGTAAATGATTTCGAGGTTAGAAATTAGAAAGACATTGTCATTGAAGAACTTTTTCTGCGCATGCCCATAAACTTCAGCGCATGCGTTCAAAAGACTAATTTCATTGTCTATCGACTAAAAATGGCTGAAAAGAGGCCATTTCTTCCTTATTTTATAGCATTTAAACAAGCTTTCCGCGCTGACATAACAAAAAGGTCATTTATTCCCTATTTCATACCATGCAAAACGAGCTTTCAGTTGTAACATGACAAAAAAAGAATATATTTTCATCGCTCGGCCAACTTCCTGGAGACAGGGCGTGCATATGTACAGATATGTAATTATCGTTTCCGGATTCAGTTTGTGTGCCTGCATGTTTGTATGTGATTGCGATGGCACATTGTAATGGGTCCGATAAATTACCGTTAGATTCGTCATATGCGTATAAATATGCACGTGACAGCGTCATCTGTGTTTGATGTGCAGCATCTCTTCACTCATCCCCGTCGGTTCGCGTCCCGTGTGACCCGCGCCCGTCCCTAAAGTACCGAAGGACTCGCGTCGTTGGTTACGACATATGGACATATTACTGCCCACTATAATCGCGTTTCCCGATAATCGTGAATAAATTGCAAGGATTATGCGACGTCATAATAAATTTCTCTATAATTGTCACGTCATGATTAATCCATAACGTGTCCGTCAATTACACTGGCAATCACTGAACGGGATCACTATAGCAAATTTGAACCCGAAAGGGTCATGTCACTCGAATACGCATTAACAACCAGCTTTTAATATTTAATGTTATCCTGTAGGAACTGCTTATTTTACCAGCATGGATCGAAAACCAAGTCTATAATACGTAACATAAGCAGATGGTTGCCTGCAATTTATTACATTTGGACTGAATGTGTATCTCATGTTAAAGAACTGAACATTTAAACGGATAATAATTGATATTCAGGCTGGATATCAGGGATCTGGTATCGTTCTACCTCCTTTGGCGAGAACATCGATAGACTTAGTCCCCGCTATTGTTGGGACATTCAAAATTGGCATAGTCCGTAATAAAACTGTCTCATTTACTGTCTTCTTTTAACTTACTGACTAGACTAGAGCGGTTGCTAACAGAACGCCTACTTTTACTCATGACAGACGTTGTAGGGAATATCGTAAACATAGAAAAGAGATATCGGCTAGGAATTGCAATGGACACTAATAAAGAACAAGGAATAACATTACACCGATTGATGTGTAACAGGAATTGTACAAACGTTGTACGTTGCACGCCAAATTAATATTATGCAACTAGTTAAATTGGATCGTGATTTTGTTGAAGAATAAAAATTCACTGTTTTATTTAAAACATTTACTGGAACTTCTATTCTAATCAATAAAAACTAAATTTCAACGTCTAAATTAAAACTATCAAATTCGTCCGATAATGGTAACTATTTTGGATGATTACTAGATGCAAAACTTACTTGATTGAGAGATGAAATCTGAATGTCTATTCTTAATGTACTATGAACTCTTAACTATGAACAGGTAAACTGGTGAATATTATTCTAGCGGGGGTGAATAGCTAGAAACTGAATATAACACAGAATATGGAAAGCCCTATCATTAAATGTGAGCACAATCGCCATACAACATTTCTTTCCAGTTTATAAGGGTTCTGTGAATACCCAGGTAAAATGTAAACTGGTCCTGTTGTTACTAACTTAGACACTATTTAAAATTGCAAATATGAATTTAAATTAAAAATATTTCATGTACAAAAAAAGAGAAAAACTTAGGACTTAACAGTTTTGTTTTCGAAACTATTTGACTGCATTCAACAGAATGAAAAAGATAAAGGGTACTGTAATGGTTTTTTGTCATCAGCGAGTTACAACAGTAATATATAGATACGTACGTACGTATGTCGTTAAACAACATTGGTTTGGACCAAGTTACACTAACAAATGTGATCTAAAAAAGCTAATTCAATCGAATGGGGCACATGTACATATGCTTTAAAACTTCACAGACGCTGAGCTAAAACTCGTTGCTTTAGTCACTATCTACTTCCTACTTTTCAATTTCGAACGCGCTATCACAGTTTCTCTTTCGCCCTGTGATTCTGCGAATGCTTTTGGCAGTTTGCCACATCGAACTCAATTTGATTCGCGTCGGCTTTACGAATACTATTAATTATATTATTGAAGTTGATATACCGCGCAAATGCATTAGCCGCCTGCGATATACTTAACGAATAATTTCTCTCTCTTTCTCTTTCTCCCTGCGAAACGACTGCCTAATAGACTTTAAAAGCTAATGTATGTATATTTGTATTATAGGTCTATTAGCTCTTAACTTTCATGTCTAAACGGAAGGTTAATCATCTACGAAAGATTATAAATCTATTTATACATTTTGTACTCCTTCACTAATTGTAAGGCAAAAGCAATAAGTTAATATTTGTATACGAGGTGTAGCAGTGAAGTTTTGCGGCGCCCTGAAGCGCCTTGAAGCGTCCTGAAGCGCCCTGAAGCGTCCTGAAACGGATGACGCTATACATTTTTCACGTAAAACCAACACGTACAAAGAAGGGCTATAAGGGGAAGGGAAGGGAAGGGAATATAGTTAGAATATATAGTTAGAGGCTCTAATACTTTGAAAGTCGATAATAATATAATTTATTGAACAAAAATTAATTAATTTGTGATTATTTACAAATTCCCGAAACTTAATTGTCACACCTCGTACATTGGAATTACAATTTATTTTATAAGGGAAAGCGTTTTAATTAAAAGTTTTCCTTAATATGGGAAAATAGTAATACAATAATAAAAACTGTATTGATACCGATGTGACTTGTTTTACTGTTTTACTTTACTAAAAATATGAGGTTTCTGCAACAGTCAGGAATATGCAGATCGACTATTATCTTGAAAACCAAGGCAATATCAAAAACAAGAAAAATTCAAGATTAAGGTCAAGATAAACGAATCGAGGAATTTATTTTATTAAAGTCATTTGTTGAGGATCTTGTGTATGTTCTTAAATTACAGCTACAGGCTACAGCTTACTATAAAGAACAATAAAATAGAAACAATCCACTTCAGTAAATTTTTTTAATAACCTTCAGGATCTAAAGGTTTATGTCTAGACTTGCAGACAAAAAATAACGCTAATCAATCTTCAGTATGGGAATCAGTGTTAAGTGACGATATTAGAATATTTTTCGATTGGCTTTTAAGATTATATTAGTTCGTAAGGTTACAATTTCTAACGCTGAATTCTTCAATAAATTTTCATCATTTCTGAGCATTTTTCATCTTGTTCATAGAGAAAAACAGAGATCTTTGTCCGTCGGTTATGATCAATGAATAAATAATCGCTTCGCAATTGGCTAGATTCACGATCGAATTCACATCACTACCGGTCAATTTCTGTGAAAACTTTCACAGTGTAAGTCAAAAAATGTGTGGTAGAATGCTAAACTACATCATAAAGTAAAGTGAAAAATCATTAGCGGTTATCACTGTTGGGGTAAGGATGTAAACTAATTCCTTTCGTACTTTATATAATTCTCTTTTATTCCGATAATCTGGGTCGTTTTGAAATATGAAAAATTTTGTCACTAATCTCTCAAAATATCAGGATGATAGTTTTTATAATTCCTGTCTGCTATACACTACGTTAATCCACGATATGTGAAGCACAAAATAAACGAAAGACAAAACTGTGAAATATGTCTACTTCCCGTCACATTCCCAAAGCGGATTATATTTCGAATAGATTTTTCGCCAGAATTCTCGTCGAAATCCACTTCACAATTTCAACCCATCAGAAATTTGTTTTGTACCGATAAAATAATTTTGAAATCAGTTGGAGAGCTAGCTGAAAACTAGAAAATTATTTTAGATCATAACTAAACACTGATTTTTGTCGTTTTATTTGTTCCAGGTTCGACGTATCCTCTAAATGCAGAATTGAAGAATGGTGGGTCAAGAGATCAGCCTACAACAGCAACTTTGTCGTTGGTTCCTGACAAGGAAGACGACGGAAGCATTTTCAGCTGTGAAGTGTGGAATCGTGCCATGCAGGACGGAACAAAGTTGAAAACCACTGTGACCTTAAACGTTAATTGTAAGTCGTTTTTCACTTTATTGTTTCACTTTTTAATAAAGAAATGGCATATGCCTTTTTATTTATCAAAGGTCGCGAGATAATTGACACAGTATAAAGTAAGTTTGCAGAGCATTTTCTTGATTTTCTTATTATCGAGAAACTTATAGATTCATTCATTACGATGTTTGAAGTGTTTCTTGTGGAACAAGTAAAAAATTTAAAATCAATTTCCGAATATACAAGATCGTAAGAAAAGAAAACAACAGGTAATTTAATTGTGAAGTTGAGACTAAATATACCAATGTATGTTAGAATGTACGACATCTTTTTGTGATATTATTATTGTAAATTGACATTTTTCAAATCAAACCTTACGTCGGTATCAATATAATTATTCTCAATTTGCCAGTGCATTCAATTGTTTTTCTGTGGTCTGTCGCTATTTATTTTTATGCAACAATTTAACGGTTCATCGCATCATTATGTTAACAAATAAACAACTTGTCCTTAATTCATCTCCTAAATACATTCAGTTTTTTGGAATGTTCCTAGAATGTTTCTTGCTTATTCAATCATTATTTTGTCTCAAAACATGACTTTTAGCGTCCAATGGAGTTTTCATGTACATGCTCTAACGATTATTTAATTATATTACGGTTTTTAGTTTCGAAATGGATTTTTTTATACGTCGGCAAATACGCATACAATCTTAGATCTTTTTCCATCTAATTAAGTCGCATTTCACGGCGAAATGAAGTCGTAGACGTGGCCGATAATTATCTAAATTGAAACATTCGCTTGAGTTAATGGTTTTAACCGCGTCTAGCCAAAATTCTTCTCGCCATTTTACGCCTTTTTAGCCCCGTTGCCTTCGTCAATTGCGACACGAAACGCAAAACGAGATCGTATAAGATATGAACTAACGTCACTCCATCTTCTCGCCACTCTTAAACTGCCTTCTTCGCACGCGAAATCCTTTAGAAGTTCATAATACGATTATGTACGTATTTATGTATACCGTATGAGAAAGAGTGGAACACTCGGTTAGAATCAGGGATGTTATGGAGTTCTATAACCGTAACCGTAACCGTAACCAAAACTATCGGATATTCGAAATAAAAATCTACCCGAAACTGTAACCGAATCTGATATAAAAAATTCGAATAATTTCGAAAAGGAGCAAGGTCTAAATTATAAGGGTAATTATTTTTTCTGTGATTATACATATCTACCTATATTATCCAGTGATAATGGGAAATAAAGTCAAACCGTCACCTATTTGTATTTTCCTTTTAGGGTTCTTTAAAAATAGATTATCTGTAACTGGAGCTATCCGAAACTATAGGATAATCCGAAATAATTTCATAGTCGTAAACCGGTATAATCTTTAACTAAATGCGAATGTGAATTTGTGTGTTTATTACAATTTCACGCCTTAACTAATCAACCGATCAGCATAAAATTTAGTACACACATTGCCAGGGGTACAAACAAGGTCATAGGATACATTTTATCCAGAAAAAGAAACTACTCCCGAGGGAAAATTTTTCTTTTCGCCTCGATAGAAAAGGACAGTATTTACTGTCATTCTGCGCAAAATGTATATTTAACCTAATGATCCTGTCAGGATTATTTATCAAATTATTGATTTTCGATGATTTTTGACACGTTTTTAGGACCTTAACGCGAGCGAAACCGCAGGTAAAAGCTTCTATACCTTCATTTATTATCCGTATCCGGATCCCAAATTTTACATCCTTGACCTCCTTNAAATGTCTCTCTTTTGTGAAAATTATTGTGGAAATACTTGCATAATACTTATAATAACAACACCCCCGTAAATGTTCTTGACATTAATGAACGAAATTTTTCCATTACTGTATTTTATTTCTCTTTCAACTTACGGGATTTTAATTAAAGAAATTACGGTAATGATAGCATTACAAAAGGCTACACGAGAAATTCTCTTCAGACACGCAATTGATTGCTTATCCTGGTAAACCTTACGCTGTATACCTACAATGTAAATTTAATTCTTCAGTGTTGTTTAATAATAAATAGAGTAATTTTTTCTTTGTCATTTTTCCGACATCTTTCGATATCGTGTGTGCGGTATTAAAAGTTCGAATACAATAGATTGAAAGCAATTAAAGTATAATAGAAACGGTGGTGGCGTAATAATAGTACTGGTGTTTTTAAACGGGGTAGGTATAAATCAGGGCATGTTACACTGCGAAGCGCTGAAACTTTTTCAAAATAAAGCAATTACTTACAAGTGACAGTCTTATCTGTTGTTAGTCTTCGAATAAATGTTCATTTTAAGAGCAAGATTACAAAGAAGTTAGTGAAGAAGCTCTAGATTATCGCAAAACTGACAATAAAATATCACGAGGTAGAGATTGCAGATATTTTTCACAAACTGTTCAAATATTTTTCATGGAATTGTTTGTAAGTTCCATCTCCGATGGTTTTACTAGTTAATAAGTATGTCCCAAAATTAATTATTGTAGAATCAAAGGTCCCAACTATTAAAATATGCTCATTACGCTGTTATACCTAAAATAATGTAAACTCTGAAAACTTATGGGTTCCTAGAAAGGAGTTTTCACATATACCCGCCAATTTTTTTGGACAAACTACGACTTGTGCTATATTTGAGTTACAGTTTAAAACCTAAAATACAGAGCGTTACATTAATATGTTCCAAATTAGGAACTACTTCGTGTCGAACGAAATTGTTAACTTCAGTACGGAGCAATTCATTACTAGTTCATTCATCATCATGATAATATTGTCGTCAGATTTAAAACTGGTTGGACACGCAACTCCACTCTTTCCTATCCTGAGCTAATCTTCGCATTTCCCTAAAGCTAGAACATCCCACATCCTTAATTATTTACGAACAGTAACCTAATCTAGGTCTACTTCTACTTCTCTTTATTTCTAACCTTCTCTATCCACGGTATCCTTGTCATTAGACTGTAACACCACATTTCGAACGCTTCTAACATTTTCTTTTACGCCGCGCCCACCGTCTATGTTTCGCACCCGTACAGCGCCGCGATTCAAACATACACCTTTAGCTATCTTTTTCGAATTTTTAAATTAATGATTCGCGAGCATAGAAGTGACTTCTTTTGATTAAAGGCGACTCGACTCTGCGAAAACTTCTAATTTTTCGCCTCCTATTTTACTCTTTCTCTACATTTTCTTCCCTTGGATGCCACCATTTATTAGATTAATAAAAATCCATAAAGTTTAACGTATAATGTGTCATTATAAGAATATGGCGTGTGTAATTTAATGCGGAAGTGGTGCACTCATTCCCTGCTAATTCTGGTTATGCTCTTGAACGAGTAAGGTGGCAGTAATACGTTCTATTAAATAGCTTAAAGTTGAAAGAGACTCCCGAGAGAGCCTTCGGGATTAATTAAGGACATAAAACCTTCCCTATGGTTCTTTCTCTCCTGTTATCTCGAATTTATAAAAGAATCAAGCAAAGTTTAAAAGTAGGCTAATGAGAAGTGAGGAAAGTAAAGCAATTTCATTAAAACCGAATATTATTAGAAAAAGAGAGCAGGAGTTTTGAGTGCCCCTGCTGCCTTTTTAGAACTTTATAAGGACGTTTTCTGCTGAAAAATGCCAGTACAAGCAATTGACAGCGAGAAACTCGTTTGCCCCATTCGTGTGATAACGAAAATTGACTGTTTTGTTATGAAAATTAAGAACTTTCCCAAGTTTTCTGCTACACTTTCCAAAACCAAATTTTCTTTCTATCTTTCCATATTAATAACTACTAAGCACATGCGTTGACAAAATTAGTTTCAGTAACGAAAAAGAAAATTAAGATATAGAAAATACCTTTNTTAACAACCTTTTTCGAATTTCTAAATTAACTGTTCGTGAGCATAGAAGTGACTTCTTTTTATTGAAAATGACACGACCCTGTGCTATCCTCTGCTTTATATCACTACTAGTTTTTCCGTCCTCACTTATTTGACTTCCTAGAAACCTAAAATCAGCCACTTCTTCCATCTTTATATTCGCTTTTTCACTGTTTCATTATCGATTCAAATATAAAGAATGAAAACAAAAAGAAGATTATTCCTTATAAACTAGGACAAAAAATAATTGATAGCGACTTCTTCGGACATTATAAGAATATTTCGTGTTTGGCGTGCAGAATTTGGTGACCGATTTTTTGTTTTTCAAACAACGATTTAGATCACAGGTCATTCGTTACCTGTTCACACACATATCAAAGTTTTAAAACTGGTAACGGATCCGGTAAATTTACCGCTTCAGTGCTAGTATGGAAAAAACTAGGCAAATATTGATACTTCATTTGCATGTAAATTGCGATTTCAACATTTTACTTCAACCAATGCAATAGATGTACTTGTCGTAGTTTGCGCTATTGTTATATTACCATCCACATATATCTATTACTTTATTGTTGTTCAACACAAATTGAAACCTTCAATTGTACGTACATTATAGTTTTTTTTTTATTAAAATGAAAAATTACTTATCCAGTGGTAAATAATGATCAAATGTCGATTCTTTAGTTTAAAGGGAATTTTTCTAACATTGTTTTTAAATCTTTTATTATTTGTTGCAATTACCTTTGTCTTATATTAATTTGAAATCATTTTTTCGATTTTTTATTTATCCACTACAAACTACCTCAAATTAATGAGGGAAAAATTGTTGCAGTTATCACACCCTCGCCGGGAATCGAACCCGGGACGTTTGGCTTCACGNGTGACAACAGCAATAATTTTTCCCTCATTAATATGAGGTAGTTTGTAGTGGGTAAATAAAAAATCGAAGAGATGATTTCAAATTAATATTGCAGATTAATCCACTATTAAATAACTAACAATGTCTTAGGATTTCATACCTTTGTCCTGTTGTATCTATCGAATACGGGATATTAGCCAAAAAAACACTTGAGTGTTTAATATTCTCACCGATTACTAACGCTGATGTGTGTACAGTCCCTACAAATTGCTTCT